CTGGGCACGCTGGAGGCTCTCGAGTCCTAACCGCTCATCCCTTTGGTTTGTAGGCATTAAATAAGCTTAGGTGGCTGATCCCCTAAGGCTGCCGTTAGGCTCGGCTACGAACCGTTCCCCTTTAGGGAAGGGGGATTGTTGGGGATTTCACCAGGGGGCTGACAGCTTTGGGAACGTTTCAGAGGCAATGTAGACTGCACAACTGAGCCGGAAAATTTCATCAGGTAAAATTAAATTACTTAAAATGGCTATAAAATATTGTACTGAGTGCACTTGGGAAACAAAGCAAATTTTGTGCTAGAATCAAGTTGTTGTTGAACAAACTATCCAGGTTTTGTAATAAATACCCTGTAAAAGAGGTTCCGAAGCCCAGCAGTGTATAGCTTGGCACAACGTTACAGTGGGAGTTGCGGAGTAATTCTTCTAGTTAAAGGTACAGGGGGGGCAGATTACCTTAAGAACGTGGCAAGATAAATAGTAGAAACATTTGACCAAATAAGGGCTTAAGGCATTTTAGTTTTACATAAATTAAACTGGAAGAGGGCAGCAATTATCTTCCATTGGTTGTTTAAATTAATTATAGGATATTATATTTAACTAATCATAGAAGAAGAATAGTAGTTATACGCCGACCATCTTGTACTAACTTGTTGTCATGACTGAACAGATGAGAACTAATCCTGTTACACAATCTGGTTATCTTTCATTTTAAAATATCATTTGTAGAAGCCTACATGAACTTCTCCGATTATTTTTTGACCATTTCAATTGCTGACCAAGTTACACTGAGAGGAAAATCCCAGAGCTTATTACTTCTACTTCTGAGAAAGCTCAAAATATTCCAGAAAGGAATTTGGAAACATCGTATTTCTGTATCAAGAAGGAAATACCCCAAGTACACTGCTAAAATATGACTGAAGACAGCTAGAAAAATCTTACAGTTGCTATCTTAGGGGACTAGCCTTGCGTTACTAATAAACCTATTTTAGGTTGACGGAAGAGGCGTTTCATTACTGTTTGCACTAATGATTTTGAACAAACCAAGTAGGCTAATTATTTGAAAACTGAAGAGGAAAACTTTGTGGTAGATGTAAGTTGAAGGTACGGAGCTTTTCCACGCTTCCTAGAATGACAGATGTTCTGCGGTCAACTTAGCCACTGTTGTAGAGTTGTTAGTAAGAAGCATATATTTTAGTTGCTTTTATAAGCCTGACAGAGAACCTAACAGAAGACCAATTAAACGAATTCTATCTCCCAAGTTTCAAGCTGAAAAGTAAATTAAATAACGGATTATAGGACAGGCTATGGTGAAGTCACAACACACGTTATTAAATGTAACATTTTTCTCTCTGAAATGATTATTAAAAAAAATGAAAAATTTGTCATCTTTGGTTTGTCTCTACTATCATGTATAACACTTTATTTTAGAGAGCCATTTAGTTAGAAAAATCTTTCCTTTAAAATTTACATCCCTATAAAATCTTGAAAGATACAAGATCTTGAAAAACAGGCACGTGTTACCTGTGTCCCATTATTTGCAGAAAACCAGCGTAAGCAATTCCATTTTTTATTATTTTACCTTAAATCCAAACCAGCTATCGCAAAAACAAAATAAGTTTTCTGCAGGGGGGAACCAGAAATGGGAATTTCTCAGGCCATGTGTGATATTTGAGTGTAGAACGATGAGGCAGCTTCTCAGTCACAAACACCTCTCACGTTCCCACACCTCTTTTTTTCCTCCTCTCTTTTGCAAGGGCTAGAATTTGTGTGGGTATATGGTGGAATAGGGAGTTGATCTGACAGAAAAATAGTGGCTATGCTTCAAATGAAGCACTCCCCAGTTCACCTTGCAGCCACACAAACAGCCGCACTGGCAACAGCAAAATGCACTTTGAACAATGCCCTGAATTGTCACTGCTCAAACGGACAGAGACCTCAGCGGAGACTATGCAAGTGAAATAAACAGAGTTGTACAGCACCCTGAGTGGCAGTATTAAATATCAAGATTTATCACCAGAAACAAACTAATGAATATCACTTTATTTTACTAGGTGCATTCCAAAGGAGTGAAATCTGGCCTTTATAGTAATGCAGGTAATTACACCTGCCATGGTTATCCTGGGCCATCATTGGACTTCAAAACTGATATTGGTATCAAAACCTTTTCAGAATGGGAGATTGGCGGGCCAAAGCTTGATGGCTGCTAGTCCAACACACTGGTTAAAGCAGTAAGTTTGTTGATTAAGGCTGACCTAAGAGAAAAAGAAAGACAGGCATGAAAGAGAAACCTCCTAGTTAACCAATTTAAACTTGGATTATTCTCTTTAAACAAGATCAAAACCCTGTAAAATCTTTGCTGTTGTTAAGTAATAGCTGTGTTTTTCATCCCAAAGCTTTCTACCATTCTGTCATGTCTGTTCATATATTTATTAGCTTCAGGTGAATCTAGATACTGAGTTGTGATCTTGTAATGATTTTTTTTCCCCTCATTGAAATTTGTTAGGATAATGGAGTTTTTTAACCCGTTAGTTAGCTGTTAAAGAAAGTGTTTAAAGTGAAGGACCAAGTCCTGCATTCTGAAAACATCCAAGCTGCCCATTGAAATTCAGTCACTGAAATAGGCTGTTGTTGTTCTGGCACTGGCTACTAGTATCTTTCAAGCTTTCTACTTCGTGTCTGTCTTCAGATTCAGCCAATCTACTGCCTGAAAAACATGCAATTGTACATTTTTTTAAAGTAGTTATTGAGCCAGAACAACATATCCATTCCATCCATTTCACTGCTTTACTACAAGTAGATGTTACTTGTTGTTAATTTAGAGTTATGATTTGTAAGATTATAATATCCTAAGATTTATGACTCAGTAGTTAATTTAAAAAAAATACTTACGCATTCCTTTGCTTGGTTTAGTAGAGTGATATTTTGAACTTAAGGGAGAGTTGGGACTTGTAAAGCATTTATGCAGATGTCTTGTTCAAAAACACGGTCAGATTTTTTTTTTTTTTTTTTTAAACATATAGTAGGATTAGCAATTTTTTCCACTACAAGTTTATAAAACAAAATAGGCAAAG